CAAAGACCAGCTGTACCTGAAATAATGCAAACACTTCAGAATGACATTGGGAGTCCTAGTCTAATTCTGTACAAACACACCGAAAATGTATTTTTTGAAACCGTCATTTTTACTATAGAGAAAATGCAATGCATTTCTTAATGTTTTTCAAATCACTACACATATATGCCTAGAAACCTGGCATAAATGCATCCATAATGACCCCATTGCACTAAACCTTCATAACAGAATGTTGCAATGGAGTTGTGTTTTACATTACTTTAAAGGTAGGTTACTAAAAAGTAGAACTTCAAAACAATTAAATAACATCGTTGTTATTAAAGTAGTAGGCCAGCAAAACCACATTTAGGATTTTATTTTGAAGTGGAGTTGCTTGTCCAACGATTATCTTTTTAGTTGATACCTGATCTTCATGTTTACAAAACCTAGCCAACTATTCAGTTCTACAGTAATGATAATAATATTAATGTCAGTCACATCACTCTGTACTATTTACCACAATTTTAATTATTTCAGTACAAACTCTTTGCTACTTAATGTATAAAGTTTCCCTAATAAAATGTCATATTTATCATATGGTGTGAAAGTAAAAGCATATGGGTCATGTAGTGTGAAGTTTGTCAATTATAACTAGATGAAAAGGGAAGAGAGTGAGTTGAGAGAAAGAAGGAAAAATAAAAATAAAAAAAAATAAATGTAACAAAGTATATACAAAAATAAAGGAGAAACCAGTTGACATTTGTGAAAAAAAAAAAAAAAAAAAATTTAAAAAGCTCCATATTTTCTTTTGAGATCTTTGTGTTATTTTACTTGGCCATAAGACATGGCTTTCATGAAGCAGTAACCGTGTATGCAACACACTTCAGGAAATTTTACTCAACATCTCATTATTTCCTGTCGTGTTTTAATATTTTGAAGGACAACAGAAACAAAGAAAAGTACATTTCATAATCTATATTTCCTTTTTTCTCAAATAAGACACTACAAACCTCTATTGCATAACAAACAGGGTTAGAAAAATAGTTCAATTCCCAAAAGCAATCATGTTATTTAAAATGAAGATCGTAATCAATATTATTTTACTTAATATTTATGAACTATGGTATATAAGAAGCAGAGGGATGCTGTATAATCTAAGAACACTTTTACATCACTTTAAGAACGACACATGTAGAGTATCCAAATTTGTAGTCTCCATCACGCTTGTGACCAAAATCAATGCCTAACTTAAGATATAAAGGAAAATTATCAGTAACTCTTATGGTTATGTGCTACTAAATGAAAAATTAGCATCAAATTTTATAATAATGAATTCCTGCTACCAGTGATGAGGCAGACTTCCTTGATTCTGAGATGAGAATGATTTCTGTAATATGCAGCTCCTCTAATACAAAGGTGAAGGCAATGAGTCATTTAATTACAGGAGTGATGGAGAATAAGACAATATGGCATCAAAGAACTTAATGAGGTGGTTAAAGACAGATACACGCACACCCACACACACACATTCCCTCAACCACTCCACTGACATAATGTGTAGCACAATAGTGATACTGTCTATTGTTTAAAATGACCTATTTTCCTGAACTACTTCCTCCTCCACAAGCACAGTCATCAGTTCCTTCTGCTTTCATTAAATAACACTGATAGCATCATCACAGAAGACTCCAACCGCCTCATAGTTTTTCAGTACCACCTTGCCTGTGTACATATTTAACAAAGAACAAGAATAATGTTGAAGATCCTAATGAATACAGGAATTATTATGTCCCTGTATATGAAGATATAAACTCATAAGATGGCTAGGATTCATAATCACAAATTGTTATTCATTGAAAAATATGTTTCCTGTTACCCCCCACCCCAGTCATTGTTTACATGGACTTGGTAGATCTTAAACAGTTGAAAAGTAAAATTGAACACAAAAATAAGTGTTATGTGGAAACATGACAATTAAAATACTATGTATTTACACACACACATATATATATCTATCTATTCATCTTCACAAAAAGGAAGAAACTCAAGAAGAACTGTTACAGATCTAAGAAGAAAACTGGTGGCTTCAAAAACTAGAAACTGTTTTATGAATGAACAATGGCTGAATATATTACAAAAAACTGATATGGTATGGTGGTGAAAAACTGCTGTATCAAAGAATGTTATAGTTGGGCCAATATTAATTTCCAAAATAAAGGTAAAATTTTGTGCACAATGCACATTTCTCATGAAGTATTCTAAACTGATTATATATCAGCTCATAAAGAAGCACCTCAAGGTATGCACTACAAACCTCAAGTAGTGGAGTGTGTATATTGTATATATATAAAAAAAAAGGATTTTTGTGCAGTATTTCTCTTCTTTCATAACAAAAGTTATTTACTATTAACTTTCTACAAAAATAAGTCACACTTCTGCACTGAAACATTAATATTTCAATATATATACACCCACACACATATATATATATATAAAACAAAGGAATGTCTGGTCAGTGACAAAAAATATGATAATTTTCAATTGTTATCAACCAACATTCTGCCATGCACTCTGCATGCAGTTAACAATATAACATAGATCAAGTGTGCAGATCTCAATGAAATAATAAAAAAGATATCACTTACAAAAATCTATATGGGTAAATCATCTTTGCATTTAGCTCGGTTCAAAACTAAGTTCACATCACCAAGGATGAACTAGAATCTAAAAGAAAGAAAGAAAAAGGAGAAATAGAAAGATAAATAGAGAAGTGCAGATTTAAGTTGACCAAAATATAAGGCAGTAAATGTTATCATCATCAAGATCTACTTCCCTTAACCAATTATAATGTGATATAAGCAGTAAGTTTAGAGGAAGTGCTTTTACCTTGCTATATAACTAAGAAGTAATGAACTATAGCTGTGCTTTGCAATTTGCAGGTTTAATGGTCATAAGATTTGTGCTCGTACATGGTAATATTCAAATGTTTTTTCACTCCAAAAATAATATATATGGCAAACAAGTCCTTTGAGGTAGGGTTCATGGACTTTATGACTGACATTATATCACTTTAGAAAAAAAAGTAATGTTTGATAAAACTATCCTTTAAAAATGTTTGTTTTTTCTCCCTAAAAATGCATCTTCATCTTAACATTTGCTTTAGTCCCATCTCAGAAAGAAAAATAAAGTACTAAATATCTGTTCATATAATTATTGAGTAAACCTTGTAGAACAAGGATCTAAATTATGGTAATTCATTTTAAAGATTTTGAAAGTTCTAAATCCTCAGTTGTCAAATCAACTATGTACCTAGTATCTGTTGTGTGAAATATAGCACTTGTTTGATATTTCAATCTTTTTATATACAAAAAAATATACTTTGTACACAAAGCTATTCCCCAAAAAGTATGATATGAACATTAACCTAACTCCTTCTTTGAAATGCACCTAAAAAATTTCTTTGCCATAAAATGATGGATTAATGTATATATAAAATGATATTATAACTTCCTCATGAATATCTGAATACATCAATCAGTTTCACAATTCGACTAAAAGAGAACCTTGGTTCAGAGAAAGGACTACATACATCTCAACCTAGATCGTCCTGTTACACTTAACACCAAGCGTGAGCCGACCTAGGGTTTCTATCTTGCATTTCAGGACTAAAATGTATGTACAGAATAGAGAAAACTTGTAAGAAAATGTCAATAACTGCCCACCACTAGCAGCCCATATTTAAAAAAAAATCTTTGAAAATAATTAATTTTCAAACGTTCTCATTTTTACACCAAACTATACTGGCAACAAGCAAAACTGCATGTAATTTTACTGTATACAAGGTACTTTATGATTTATTGATTGAGGTTCTTTAGCCAAGGAACCACTTGAGATACTCTAGCACAAATTCTCAAACCTATATATAATTTGTACACCAATATGAGGACATGGCACAGAACTTACCTATCACACATCAGGCACACTTATGTTAGGCTCTTATCTAATATGAAAAAAACATTATCCCAAGACCTACAATCATGAGAGTATTTCTTCCATTGTCATTTTTTTTATTATGATTTTTTTTTTACACTCTAGTGCATTATTACTACTATACAGAGCCTTGCTCCTCCTATCACTCATGGGGTAAGTTATAAATTTTGTGCCGCTACTACACCAAAGGACTATGCCTTACTCATCAGGAATGTGGCGGGAGCACCGCGTGGTAACAGCACCAACACTGGTCGTCCTTTTATTTTCCTCCTCCCAACTAGCTCGAGTGCGTGTGCTTCTCTCAAGGGGAGGATCGTCTGGAAGAGTTCTGATCACTTTATATGTACTCTTTTCTTTGCGGATGGTGTAGTACTCGGTTATTTGTGTCTGTGCTTTCTTTTTGCTACCAATTTCTTTGTTCTTCTCAGCTTTGCTTCTTTCAGAATTATCACTTCCAACTGGTTCTGGACTAGTGACTCGACTTCGTGACTTGCGCGTCTTGAGACTTCTTCCAGGCTCCCGATTTGATGGACTGTGAGATCGCTTTTTAAGGCCATTACTTCTCCTCACCCCTAGCTCACTCCTGTTTGCTCCTCTACCTGATCTCCGCAGACTAGTTCCTGTGCTAATCTTACTCCCTCTACCTTCAACACTAGCAGCCTTCCTCAGCTCTGGGGGAGCAGATCGAGACACTTTGCCCTCCCCTCTACTCCGGTTCTCTGACACAACCTCAACTGACCAAGACTTGGAAGAACTTTTGGAAGTCTTGGAAGAGTTCCTGAGCTCCGCTGAGGTACTCTTTCTCTCGGGAGAGGAAGTGCCGGACACGACTTTATCCTCTTTGTCGCTGGTGTTGAGTGCGGTATCCGACTCTTTATCATTATTGGAGTTGGAGGAGGCAGCTTCCGACTTGCTGGGTGAGTCGGAGTTGGCGGAGGAGTTCTTGGTGGCACTAAGCTTGCCGAAGGAAGAACTTCGCGATTTCTTAGAAGTAGTCTTGTTGCCGGTGGACTTGTTGGTGGTGTCTGTGTTTGAGGATGCTGATGATGGGGATGAGATGTTCTCTGGGCTTTTCTTACTGTTCTTGCTTTTCGAGGTGGGCAGTATTGGTAGTCATCTGACAAGGGCAGCTTTCGTGGACCTGCTGGCAAGTGTATTTGAGGTTCGGCTGGAAAGAAAGCAAACAAAACAAGTTAAATAGTAGTTTTGGGAGACTATAGTATTATTATAGACTATATATGCCAATTTTTATCCTGTCAATTACCAATGTTTAGTTACATAGAAGCAGGCATATCCCACATCAAAAATGCAACTTCATTCTGCTTTATTCCTGGTTAATAATGCCATACGCTACATACATACATGTAGACAGCAGGCATGAATGAGGCAACTATACACAGGTAACAACATTCTGAAAGGAAGTTAGACTATTTTTGCACATACAAACAACTTATAATTGGCAAGTGACTGACTCCCAACACAAATCATTAAATATATATATATCATATTCTTTGACCCAACAGAGAAGTCCGTCCTATTTTCTTCATTAATTTACCTTTATTTTCATCCAGCAAGCTATCCTTCGCCAAACCTTTATTATCAGTTGTACCTAAAGTCAAACAAGCAGTATGGGTTTTTAGTAGCAAAAATACTTTTAGCCTATCATTTTGAATATTTACTGTTGAGCAAAATTCTCAACCTAATCCCACTCTACAAAACAATTTCTAACTTGCCTCAAGCAGAATAAATTAACATTTTTAAAAGCAAGATATATATAAAAATATGTATGCATGTATGGGCAACATGCATACACATTAGCATTCATTATTCTTAATACAAACAGTCCATACAATCAAATATGGTAAATTTTCCATCTGTTACAATGTATACACAGCTGTACCTGTGACATTGCTTAATGGCCTTTAATTTTACACAGCCCGAATTGGTCTGCATGCACAAACCAAGTGCATTCTAAGCACTGCCTCTGTAGCAACATTTGACATTAGTGCTCACATAAATAATATATATATGGTATATTTTTTGTCAACAGAACTAGTTTGAGTGTTCAGGTGTTTAAAAGGGAATATTCAAGGGGAATTTAATGTTACAAATGAATTTCTTCATTATTTACTGACAAGACAATGAATCAATTTATGCTAAATAATATTAAATATCACTATTCTATCAACTCCTTGTTAACAAAATATATAAACAATCATATGAATTACAATTCTAACCAACCAAGGAAAAGTATATTTCAGGGAGGGGGGGGGGGGACTTTACTTTCAAAATTTGTGTAGATCATAATATAACATGTACGTTACTATTCTTTCAAAATATGTGCATACTACTTATCATGTGTATATTTCAACATGTATCTGCATGTTTATGGGTAAAATAACAAATACACACTGAAAATGGAAAATAAGGAAATAACCATGCACCAAAGGAAAAAGAAGAGAAATTAAATTCTCTATGCAAGGAAAACCTGCAAGCTTGGAGCAGCATAAAATCTTGTATGTGAAAAAAAGAAAAAAAGAAAAGAAAAAAACAGAAGAATTCAAAAGAAAAAAGAAAAATATCAATAACCAAAAAATCTGAAATAAAAACATACATGCAAAAAATAAACCAAAAGTTAAACAAAAAATCACTATTCACTAGACATCTAACTTACACAGGAGAGAAACGGTAGTGAAAAAGTTGATTACTATTTGTTATCCCCTTTACTACGCGATAGACTGGGAGTTTGCTGTGAATGACAGGTGAAAGGTGTGAGCGGTTTCCCAAATTGGATGTCCGACTTCTCTCATCCTCTCTCAAGCTGCAGCCTCCACTATCTCCCTCTTGTTCAGAGTTGTTATTATTAAACTGTTGACTTTCCCCAATGTTTCCATTGTCCACAGCACCCGAAGATGACACTCCAGCCACAACATTGTTCACCTCATTAGTTCTGGCTATTGGATTGTCGTTGGACGAGGAGGAAGAATAGGACGAAAGAGAGGACAGACAGGGGACTTTAGACTGAGAAGACAGAGTAACATGAAAGGAGGATTTGGAAAGACTAGAGGACGACCCGCTGGAACTGCTAAGGTGCATCTTTCTTGCTGAAGTCTGAGATGCAGAGCCCCCACCAGGACCATGTGGGGTCTCTGGTGGAGCCATGGAAGATGAAATCAGGGCCCGTGTTAGGGGCTGTGAGACAGAAGGAGGACCCGGGGATCGTGACATCCCCAGAGCCTTGTTCCCACGATGAGCAGATCCCCGATACACCGATCCCAATAGCCATGCATGTCTTGCGTGAAGGTGAAAAAATAGAGGGTAAATGTCTTGGATATAGCAGAAAGATTTCACACAGAACCAATATATATATATATATTTTTTTCTGAGAACCTACAAAGATTGTGCTCCTCTTGACTGAAATAATCATGCACTTGAAGTTAATGTTCACATCAACTGCACCAAAAAATCTAAGCACTAGAGACATTACATGACTATGCTTTGATTTCTTCTATCCAAACACTTCAGGTGTGCAAATGTCACTGAGTCTTAAGGGTATTAACACCTGAAAAATGCTGATGCAGTTTTCTTTGTACTTGTTCTCAAGATGAAAGCTAACCAATTCCAAATACTAAATAGACTGTGTTAATATATTATTATAGTAAGTACATGCTCCAAGTTGTTACTATGAGTATTAGTCAGAAAGTCAAAATACATTCTCTTTCTATACCCACTCCCTAAACTAAACAAATTTATTTGTTGACTTACTTTTAAAATAATACAGTAGAATTAGAAGAAGCAAGGTGTATTAATGTTTTAATATTGGACCCACATATATATCTCAAGTAATTACTTGCCCTGACTGCTACTTTTACTCTGTTAAACAGCATGTTTAATACTGCAAGGGTTATTCACCTAAATTTCCCTAAACCATAAAATAATTCCTCACCTCTTGCTTGTGGCTGTGGTAGTGGATCGCATAGGCCTACGAGCAGTGTCTCTGTAGGCTGTGGTGATGGTGGAGACCTTGCCAGCTTTCAGTGGAGACAGCACAGCCTCTCGCCCACCACCACCACTACCACTGCCTCCACTCCCCAGGGGCGTGGACTTGGTACGCACGTGAGCTTTGTCCTCAAGGCTGTAACAACATTTGTTGCTACACTAACTGTAAAAGCACATTTCCCTATCCTAATAAACATATGCAGATACGAATAAACTAATCTTTTTAACATCTTACACACACCTACTGTAAGATGCTAACTAGCACACAGTCACTGCATTTAGACATTTCAGTCATGGAATCCATACAATCTATTTTTTTCCTCACATCATAGAAGTGGAAAAGACTCTGAAATAGTGTCTACGCTACTTTATGATACAGAAAGATCTTGGGGAAGTAACAACAACTACTCTGTGTATGGTACGTGCAAAACCTGGTTTCATGCTTAAGGAACATTACAATGACACTACTCTTCAGAATTTTGGCATTTCAAGAATTCTGTTCTAAATAAATATTGTGAATTATTCTAACCTTTTGAAGTAACCTATGCAAACACATTTTCAAATACTTTCATCCACATGTGATTTCATACATCTGCTTACACCGATCTTGGGGGTTAAAACAAGGTGAATTAGATTTACTTACTGTACTCGTCCAGTTGTGGCAGAACGGGCATGGGTTCGTGAAGCTTTCAGCTGGTTTAGGCGATCACCTTGTGAAAGCCCATTTATAAGTCGAGTCTCGGAATCTTTACTGTCTGCATTACTATTTGCAACATCCTGAAAAAGTTACAAGGCTTAGTAATGATATATCCATGACCATAAGACACTGGTGCAAACCTTCAGTGATATTTATTCATTTTCCAGTCATATGAGTTCTTAAAAAATTGTTCAAATTCTATAAAAAAAATTCAAAGGAAAGTGCATAATATAAACAAATATAAGTGCACCTATGGGAAGGAATTACAGTTAAATCAAGTGCCAATAATAAAAAACATTGGAAACAATTTAGATGAAATGTCACCTGAAAATTGTTGTCAACTAAAATACCTGAAATACCACTTTATTTTTCTTACCTCGATGTACTTGTCATGATTATCTGTTTGCGAAGTTTGATCGTCTAACTTCAACAAGTCAACGCCACTTAGCACTACTTGGACATTTTCCTCTCGATCCACATCATCTTCTGATGTGTTTCCATTGACCTGTTTTCAAATGAAATACATCAATAAAGGACATAATGCTAATTCTAAGATACTGAACTTTAAACATTTCACTGCACAATTTTGTATATTAACTTAAAAACCATGATTGTTGCCTGTTTCATAAAATTAGCCTTGCTGTTGTAGGGTAAGATAAGAAAAAGCAAAGCCTAACAAACAAACTTGAAGATGGATTCACATTAGCAGGAAAGTAAAGACTTTTTCAGACCATGACTTTGGAGGGAAACTACACTTTATCTCACCAGTTTCTTTTTATTGTCATTCTTGCAGTTGTTTTTGTTCTGATTATTCCGCATGTTGGCCAAGTGGTCCCTCCAAGCAATGCTATAGATTCCAAAGTCGAATTTCTTGTTCAAGTTTTGATTTTTGTTGCGTGCTCTGAAGATGTCTCCTTCTAGCCACAGTGAAGACTGTTTCCTGTGGAAAGGTTACCACTCGATTAATATTGGAACCTTTGTACAACCAAGAAAAAATAAGTGATCCAGTTCAATCTCGAACAAGAAAGAAAGAGATGCCCGAAAGTGTTGCATTACAATCTGAAAATGTCTGTATTACACGAGACCGGTGCTCTGCTATAGACTTACGAAGTGAGCCATTGCTGCTGCCCCCCAATAATGGAGCCTGGCCTGCAGATACGTAACCAGGCAATAGACTCTGCTGCTGTGAATCTGAAGTGCTTCATCATGTAGCAACCAATGAGGGATCCTGTACGCCCTAAGCCAGCTGGAAAGTATATCAATGATTAATTAAGTATATAAATGATTAAGCTGCATGCAAACGCGACTACGCACACAATTTCTTCTCAGCGTATATAACTTTCATTCGAAAAGAACAGCGACGCAAAAAAAAACAAAAAAACACAATTACCTTTACAGTGAACAGCAAGAGCTCCATCAGTATTTTCACTGACGCGCAAGAATTCCCTCATGATTTCATCTGAAGGACACGATCCATCAATAAAGTACATATCATAATGTTCAAAGCCTGCATTCTTGAACCTTGAGGCGTCGTAAATCTTTTTGTTGAGTCTCACTATGGTTGTCACATTATGCTTGCGGAAATAGCTGAAGTAAGTCTCGGGGGAATGGAGTGTGTATCCATTCTTGATCTTGCTCTCGGCATGCGGTCCGCAGAAAGCGAGGTATTTACCTGGCATGATCCAATTGAAGTCCCCATTTTGCACTTTCTGCGAGGAGACAAAAAGTAATATAATCTTTAGCACAAAACAGAAGCTCCGGATAGTAGCCGCACTAAATCAAAACCATATTCATTAAGAATATAAAGTTCTACGAAAAGTAATTCAACTCCAAAAGAAGAAAAAGAAGTAGAAAGAAAAAGCCCAATGCAGTAGCAGCTGCAGCAGCTGTCTCTTACTTCGTAATACTCATACTCGTCGACATCGAAGTCATCGAAGTTGAAGAAGCCCAATTTGAAGGCCTTGTCGATCGCATGCAGACAGTCGAGCAGCGTGAGATGGTACGTCGACATCCCATACGCGGCATCTCGGAAGGGACAGAACTGCGGGCTGTTTCCGCCCACCAGCGGCTTGTATGCTTCCTCGGGGGTCTTTTTTAGATAAATTATCTAGAAAGAAAAGAACAGGCGAAATTAATATTTGGAAGAGATGGGAACATGATCTGGACAAACACAAACACCCACACCTATTCATATGCATGTACGTGAATATTGTGCGGAGTTCAATGTAATCATGCTTTTGTTTTCTTTACATTTCTACTAAACATTCAAACACGGAAATGTAAGATGCGCAAAAATGCACGGCCATCCACTTTGACATAACATTCACCTACGAGACTAATCCTTTCAAAAACGGTGGTACTGTTAAGCCAAAGCCAGCCATTCGGGCACGGGACGCGAGACCCTGGAATCCACAGTCGAGCTTAGTCAGCCCTCATGAGTCACCTGGAACATCGCCAAAGCAATTATCCAGCGCGGACAAAACACAAAAAGGGGGGAGGGAACGTGAAAATACAAAAATGCATCTCGTTTAATTATTGGCTATCCGAAATCTATTTTTCATTTATCTGTTTCCTATTTACTACCCGAGCGTGACATAACAAAATTGTAAGCAGACAATTTGAATCACTGACAACATCCATAGGAATTTGAAAGCCAAATCGCGCAAACACGTTTCTTTTACAAGAAGAGCAGGGGTTCAAAGAACACATGCACCTAACATGCCACATCTACATTCGGGAATCCATGCAATATTAATGTTAAACACGTAAAGTAACTCCCTGTCTGCAGTGCGTCACCGGAGCGAGTCCCGCGAAAAGGCATGCGCCACGAGGACAGATTAAATAATGGAATTACAACAGTTTCCGGATGTCTGTTATTGTTGTTCTAGTCTTCGTTGACGTCATCAACAACAATGACAAAGGTAGCGCGAATTCCGGAAAATCTTGAGCTGTTACAAAGCCACTGTGGATATAATATCCAGCCATGCCCCGCGTAACAAAGAGATGTCACATCCCGTCCTGCTACGACTTTACAATTTACTTAGCACCGCGTGTATCCCTTTCCTGTTTCATTGAAGAAACTAAAGATCGCAAACTTGATAAGATAAGCAGACGATCTTATCAACAATCATTATTTTGTAGTAAAGAACAGATCAAGAAAAAAATGTATTTACTAGCATATCTAATAGTATTTAATAAAGCATTTTTTCAACCAAACAATGCTACAATGCATAATTGCAATCTGCAAGGAAGGGTTTCTCATGCATGTTCAAAACCTGGGAGATCGTCGTATAACGCATGCAAATGTCCTACATGCAATGAAAAGCGAGGACTATGAAGGCCAGAACTGCCTCCCAAGTGAATCCTCCGCAATTGTAGGGAAGGAGATGACGAATGCAAAAGGCCCACAAGCATCCTCTCTCAAGCAATTCAAAAGATCGTGATGCATCAAAACGTATCCTTCCACAACCCCCCCCACCATCCCTCCACCTGCGCATCGGGGAAGGGAGGGAGGGAAAGGGGCGCGAGTCAAGGCCAAGGTCACAAACACGCCAGCTCGGAGCCCACGATTTTATCGCATTTCCGCTACTTCTCTAACAAATAATGAACCATATGTCTCAGTTGCTGTTCCTTTGAAGTCCTACCTGCATCAATGCCTCACGAACGAGAAATACAAAAAAAAAAAAAAAAAAAAAAAAAAAAAAAAAAAAAAAAAAAAAAAAAAAGAGAAGGCCTTTAATATCCGATTCCAACATGGCTTTATCAGCTACACACCTCCGCTCTCCATGACCTCTGTCATACGTAGGGCTGATGGGCAGCTACCCCAAGATCTCCTCAAGAATGGTTCCGAATGGGTTGCTGCGAGGCCATGGTTCAAGTACACGTGACACAACCGCAGAGGAAGCACACACGAGCTACTGTAGACAGAGGTGTGTAAACAACAGACGCCAAGCATTCTGCACCTGTAAGGCCTCACGCGGGGATAGCCAACCCTTGCGCCTCAAATGCTGTAACCTCGACCAAAATAGCTTCTGATGCTCGCATTCCTCGGCCTAACACACGTAAACAAACATAACTAAATAACATAACACAAAGAAGAACACGACAGAAAATAGAGCAACCGTATTTATCTACACTATAAGACAATTTATTTGAACCCGACTAGGGAAGGCGCGTCTGTAGAGAGGAATACCTATCTCACTACCGAACCATTGAACAGAAATTGCCACACCGTCCTTACATTGCTTAAGACCTTGAAACCTGATCAGGAGTGTGAATCGTGAATCCTCCGCCTGGGATTCAGGGTTCATGTAATGCTACTGGCTCAGGACGTGTGAGTGTCCCTGAAAGTCCACCTATTCCCTGCCCATAATACCCATCTGTATCAGGGAAAACACTGAAGAAGGCGAGGTGAGTAAGATGACGCAAGGTTAGAACAGCTGATCACGGAAGGGGAAGAGCCTATACCCTCCTCCGTTGGAAGACACGCATGGAGGATGCATTTCATCCCTTCCCCCCAGCCCTATGGCGTATGCAGCAATTACTCTTACAATGGGATATTTTAGGATATTCAATGCCGCGCAGAGCTCCCCTCTCCCCCGGCAAACGTGGGTGTAGACAATCTCGACACAATGGAGATGATCACGGATGTATGCAGCCCCCTCCCCCTCCCCATAACACAGAGCGCCACTTCTCACCCTGATCTACGATATCTGCCGCCTCTTCCAGCGGGGCTGTCACTCAATTGCCAAAGACCGCTTTTCAGTTTGCCACACTCGATTCCCCCTAGCGCTCCCCGCGCTCGTTTGTTCATCACGCGGCCGTTAACGCTCTGCACGACAATCGAACCACTGGCAATTGGATGGCATTTCCCCCGGCCGCCGTTGCGAGATGACCCGCTGCCTTCGCTCATCCCCGTGACAGCAGGCAGAACCAAGCGAAGCCATTAGCCGATAACCACAGCAAACACGCCATTGTCATTCGTTACAGCGGAGGCCCTCATCTAATCCCTCTCCCTCTGCGCCTGCGAGCTCTGTTGCCAGAGGCAATGCCACCCAACTAACGGCCACGCATCGCTGGCTGACCTCGGAACTGAAACGCAAAGCCCGCTCCATATCAGGGCAGAGGGGTCAAGACTCTCCAACCCCGATGCAACCCCGTCCAAGCCTCACCCCCCGGGTCCATCAACCCCCACGCACCAAGGCACTGCGACGGCACTCCGTGACCCCGCGGAATCTCGTCATGCACATCTGCTGCATAACCGACGCGTGGCAAGGGGGGGGGGGTCCCGGGAATTAACGAGACGAGTGCATCTCATTGCTCGGCATTGCATCATCAACGTAATGGCAGCCGTGTCTCTCCTCAGATTCTCTTACAAACCTGATAACGGCACTTAGCGCAAAGGACGTGACGCTAAATAATGACACTTACGAAAGTCGGGATAGAGCGCGTGTTCGGGGGCGTGGGTACCGACTCGCCGACACGTGTTGAGGAGCGAGTCCGACAAGTTGTGTTCACGTCAGCCTGCTAGCGCGCCCGCCCGCCCGCCCGTGCCAATCGGTTCAGCCTCAGCCGACTTGCGAATTCCAATCAAACTCGCAGAAAAAATCGCTTAAACACACTGTGCACATACAGGTCCGCCGTCTGGTCTAAAAGGAGAGCCCTGTCGCTGTCGGATGTTTGTGGGCGGACCGCACGACGGTGTTTGTCGAGCGGTGACTCAGCAGTTGTAACGCGCCTCGTTAACTCTGTGGCAACGGGAGAAAAGCTGCCTAACAACGGGGGATTACCATTACAGGCCTTTAATCTGAGGAGGGACACGTTTGTCATTGGATACCACAACTGCGACGATATTACGTCATGTATACGTATATAACAATATGAACACGTACACACGTGTACACACACCCACACCCATACACATCTATATTTATCTATCTATACACACAGACACACACACATAAAACACGCAGATTTATACATATACATAGATGCATAAACTAGACCTGTGGCAAAATGTCAAACAAGACCTTTTCTTTAATTCCCACGCAGCCTCATCTGCCTGGAACTAGATATCAACCTGCGTGAATCCATCTTCTCTTCGCGCGGGTGCGTTTCTCCCATCTAACGCGTCGGGCGCCGCGCCCTTGCGAACGGCCCTGCTTCATTCCGAATGCGAAATTGGGGCCGGTCTCGCTTCCCCTCCACCGTGAGCCGCCGGTTCTACCCCTTTGCCCCACGT